TAATCCCAACGCTTTGGGAAGCCAAGGCGGGAGGATTGCTTGAGCCCAGGAGTTCAAGACCAGTGTGGGCAACAGAGAGAAACCTTATCTTTACAAAGAAAAAAAATATGTAATAGCTGAACGCAGTGGCACGTGCGGTAGTCCCAGCTTCTCAGAGAGCTGAGAAAGGAAGATCACTTGTGCCTGGGAGGCTGAGGCTGCAGTGAGCTATGATCCCACTACTGAACTCTAGCGTGAGTGACAGAGTGAGACCCTGTCTCAAAACAAAAACAGAAACAAAATATCAGTACCAACCTCTACTTAAACACGTCTGACCTTGTGTTATCACCTTAGCATTTTATCACTCTTTTTTTTTTTTTTTTTTTGAGACAGAGTCTTGCTCTGTTACCAGGCTGGAGTGCAGTGACGCAATCTCGGCTCACTGCAACCTCCACCTCCTGCGTTCAAGCAATTCTTCCGCCTCAGCCTCCCGAGTAGCTGGGACCACAGGCGTGTGCCACCATGCCTGGCTAATTTTTTTTTTTTTTTGTATTTTTAGTAGAGACAGGGTTTCACCATGTTGGCCAGGATGGTCTCGATCTCTTGACCTCGTGATCCACCCGCCTCGGCCTCCCAAAGTGCTGGGATTACAGGCATGAGCCACTGCGCCCAGCCTATCACTCTTTTTTTTGGAGATGGAGTTTCACTCTTGTTGCCCAGGCTGGAGTGCAATGGCAGGATCTCGGCTCACCGCAACCTCCGCCTCCTGGGTTCAAGCTATTCTCCTGCCTCAGCCTCCTGAGCAGCTGGGATTACAGGCATGCACCACCACTCCCAGCTAATTTTGTATTTTTAGCAGAGACGGGGTTTTTCCATGTTGGTCAAGCTGGTCTCAAACTCCCGATCTCAGGTGATCCGCCCCCCTCGGCCTCCCAAAGTGCTGGGATTATAGGTGTGAGCCACCGGGCCCAGCCATTAACACTTTCTAATATGCCATTTTACTTCCCTTATTGTCTGTCTCTCAGGCTAAAATATACAATGTTTACAATCATATATTATAAAAGCTCCATGAAGACAGGACAATGTCTGTTTTGCTCAGTGCTATGTCCCCAGCAGCTGGAAGAGCGCCTAGCATGTAGTAAAGGCTCATACAGATGTGTCGCATGAATGAATAGGGGGACTGAGGCTCCTAAGGTTGAATCTAGCAATGCAAGCTGTAAAAAGGCAGAACTTGGACTGCACTCAAATTTGCCGATACCGAATTTTCCCCGGGGCACTGGTGGAAGTGGAGAAACTGCTACATTCACTGGCATCATGGGAGACAGAGAGACCATCAAGCAAAAGTAGGTACAATAGGACCCAAGGGGAACAAGCACAAGCTGTTTGCATTTCTTTGAGAAAGGCTAGAAAAGCAAAGGCAAGTGGTAGGACTCAAGAGAAAATACAAAAGTGACAGCTGATTCCAGGCTGGTGAAGGAAGAAAAACATAAGAAGATGAGACAATATGAAAATAGGAACAGAGCTCTGGGGGGGAGGAACCTACTCCATCCCCAGGGCTTTTTTTAACAGCAGATGGAAAAATGAAGAATTCATATAGTATGCTTCACGAAGAGTCAGGAACAGAAAGGGAACAAGAGTCTAAGAGTCTAGGTCGGGCATATTGGCTCACACCTGTAATCCCAGCACTTTGGGGACGAGGGCAGGTAGATTGCCTGAGCTCAGGAGTTCGAGACTAGCCTGGGCAACATGGCAAAACCCTGTCTTTACCAAAAAACAAAAACAAAACAAAGCAAAAATTAACTGGTGTGTGTGGTGAGTGCCTGTAGTCCCAGCTGCTTGAGGGTCTGAGGTGGGAGGATCACTTGAGTCTGGGAGGTTGAGGCTGCAGAAAGCGGAGTTCACACCACTGCACTCCAGCCTGGGTAACAGGTAAGTGAGACCCCATCTCTAACAGTTTAAAAAAAAAATCTATACTTTGTAACAGCTCAAGAGACCTCGAGGGTTAACGTGGGGGTAGAACTGGGGGTGGGGGCTGGGATGAGGAAGTCATAGAAGGAGCAGATGGTATCCTAAATCAAGATGGGGAGGGGAGGGAAAGAAGGGAAGCTTGCTTCAGAGTGGCCCAAAGGAGAGGCGAGGAGACTGCATAGCTGCTGCGCGCTTAGGCCCAGCCAGGTGGAGTCTAAGAGCACTCAGCCCCTCTCTGGAACAGAAGCAACACGTAGCCAGGCTGCACTAGGGCCCGACAATCAAGGGAAGTTGTGACAGATGTCAGTGATGGCCATTCCCAGAAGCTATGCCTGAAATGGCCCCTTTTGCAATCAGGAATTATAAGGAAGGACAAGTAGCCCAGAAAAGCTTCCCTTGCAGTGTGAGTCCTGGACCTAACTGATGCAAGGAATCCTATGGGCTTGCACTGTTGTGGGTGCCAGCCCATCACTGGGCATTCAGAACTCTGTCCTGGGGGAAGACGCCTTGTTAGGAAAATTCTTCAGGGGAAACAATGGTCATGGGAGTACATCATGACAGATTAGGGATAATGGCCTGAAAATGAACGATGGGGACCAGGTGGTGCCCTGACCAGGCCAGGCCAGCTTGCCAGCAGATCCAGTGGCAGCGTTTGGGCACCTGACAAGCTCTGCTGGAAAGGAACTCCTGCAGGGTGGTCTCAGAACCAAGATGTAGACACGGCTTTCCCAGAGAGAGGTACCAGATTCCACCCCACTGAGAAAGGACCAGAAGGGGAGCCTGAACTTCCTGGAAGCACAGAAAAGGCTTTTCTAGGATCTCCCCAGCCTACAGTCCTCTCGGCTTAAGTAACCACCGAACGTCTGTATCGGTGAAATGACAGGAGGTGGCTGGGACTTGCTTTATAATTCTCAGCAAACCAAACAAATTGCGGGAGAGGATAGAAGCAGTAGTGTGGGGATGCGCTGTGCAAATTGAAGGTGGGAGAGGGTACGGGAGACTTCTTGCACCAGTGGGTGGCAAAGTGTCCTTTCCAAACCACAAGCACCACCTCCTGAGGGCTCTAACAGGTTGCAAATTCTCAGGAGGGAGCTGACCCCAGATTTACTAAAAAATAGGGAACAGAAAACTCCAGGGCCAGGGCCCAGCAATCTGTGTTTTAACAAGCCCTCCAGAGGATTTCGCTCACCGGTTCTGCTGCTTGCTCAAATTTGAGACCCACTACACTAAACCGTTCTCTCTCCTTTTGTGCATGTGCGATGATTTCCATAATAAAGGCTCTAAAAAAACCATCCCTATGGGCATTTTTGTTGTCGACTTGTTTATTTCTTACATCACGTGTCTTCAATTGCTATTTAACTATTGTTTTGATCTCTTCCTGCAGCCAGAACAGAAAAGCCAGAAAGCCAAAGCCACCGCGTCTCTCTCCCTCCCTCTCTCTCTCTC